ATTAGGTTTGCAAATAAATTATAAATTTTATTAGAATCAAATTAATTTGAGATTGATTTTCATGCCAAAGTTTATAATTTGAAAAACATTTTGGTGTTTAATGTTGTCATTATCATGTAATTAATGCAAATTTTTTTGGTTTTTTTCCTAAAAATTATATGATTTTTGAATACAATGTGTGTACCATGTAATTGTACATGTAGACAGAGCCTATTTATATGCAAATATGTTAAATTAATTGATATTTATATTCATTTTAGACAAACACATTTCAAATGGTTTTGGCGACCGATGAAGTTTACACCTACGCTATATTCAATTATGGAGTCATCAATTGGTCATCGCATACAGAAGCCGGAGGTGATACGACACGTGGTGAAGGCGGTGTACCAGCATATGTAAGTTGAATACATTTTCAGAGAATTTTTTGCTTCAATTTGGCCTGATTTTAAAATTATACGTACAGTGTAGAAGAAGGAGGTGGAGAGGACTAGATCCCTGTTTGTAACATGCAATTATAGGTGCCAGAGATTATAGGAAATGTATAAATATTTGATTAGTGTAAGACTTTGAGCACTGTTCGTCTGTTATCGCGAAAATTCGGAATCAGGCTGGCACTTGCCGTATGTAGTCTTAGTTCACGACAATAAATGGATGTTGAAAATAGTTCGTCCCAATCTATTCGGTCATGGACAAAAACTTTTTTTCCCAATTCGTGGGAACTACAAGTCTGTGAACACAATAATTAGAGCCATTTATAGATTATAAGCTAAAGCGCTCTTCCTGCGTGTATGTTTCCCGCAGCCGACAAGTGACAGCCAGTCATAGAAAACAACTTTGCCGGGCAAGCAATGAAACCGTGATGTTGAAACGTTTCGTAATGGCATTCTTAGTCAATTCGTATGGTAGTCTTTTTTCCTTCTTCTAGATTTTTCCTATCGCATGTAAATGTCAAGAAGTAGTTGATGAATTAACTGCTAAGTTGTTTGAAAGCTTTTTGAGAGTTTGAGCTTGATTTCCCTTAAACAAGTCTTGCAACGCATTGTTTTCGAACTTCTTTGATTCTCCAGGCCATTGTTGTCAAAAATGTAATTTTGAGCGTTCCATGATTAATGTCTGTATGCACTGAATAACTTAATAATACTAAATGGAAAGTTGATATTTTATAAAGAGAAAGATCAAAATGATACAATGTAACAGTTGTGTACTTTATCATTTTCACCAATAGATGTCACTGCAAAGACATTTTTTTGAGGCCAGTAGTTCTTTCACGCGACAATTCATTCATTACACACTATCTCTATAGAGCGAGTGATAAGAGATTTGGGGAATTGTAGATTATATGTGTAACACACACACACACACACACACATAGAACTTTACTTTTAAAAACTTTATAAATTTAAACTTTATAATTTAGTGTATACGACTTAGAGCTTAAGCGCATCCATGATTCTGGGACATCTGTCTCATTTCCTTTCATTTATTTTCATACCCTCCTATTACTCTTAGTCTTGTGAGATATGATTTAATTGTAACATGTGTACGTATATACACTTCTTTTTTATGAAAACCACAAAAATTTTGTGAATTATTCGCAAAAGCTGATGTGCATTAAACGCACATGTATCTTTCGTCCAGTTAAGTATGCATTTAATTACATTTAAAGCGAAAATATAATTAAAACAATGCGGTTCGGTTTTTTTTTTTTCTCTTTAGTCATTTGAAATAAAAATTTAAAAAAATTTAAGTTTGTTAAAGTTTCGAATTTTCTATGACTTAAGTGAGATAGTTTTGCAACCCATTGGGTGCATATCATGACAATTTTAAAACTCAAATAAATAGCAAAAATATTTAGAAATTATTGCATACAAAAGAACAAAAATCGATGGCTTTTTTATTTGGTAGTTTTGTTAGAGGTTTGTGAAGCAGCTGCTGCTTAAAAACTATTAAAACAAAAAAAAAAATAAAAATAAAAAAAAAAAATAATACCTCAAAAATATATAAACCTGTATATATATATGTGTACATAGAGTATGTGCGTTTGTACAAACATTTTTACTGTAATTGGGAGCCCCTGAGAAATTTATATTAAGCTTTGTTCGAATCACGGACATCCGTCAACCACAGGCCAAAGTAAATCTGCATAGCATGGCAGTGTAAGTCTATTTTCTGGAACGCACCTCATAAAAAGGTGTTAATGAAAAATTAATTCTTATATGGCATAAGTCTCCAAGTTCTGATATTCTGTGAAGAAAATTGGTCGTGTAAGTAATTTAGTATAAAATCGGTCTTTTACTTAGATGCAAGCATGCCAAGGGGCTCTCATCAAAAGCAAACAAAGCAAAAGTGGCAACAAAGTCCAGCCTGTAGTTTTTTATGATGAAGGCAAAGGGAAATTACGAATTTTTGATGTATTATCACGAAAATGAATCAAAGTGTGTAATATGCACAGTGGTATAAGGTGTCTTATAGCCGGTCTTGCCTGAATATACCATTCTTACTTGCTTTTCAAGTATTGTTCCAAGTAAATGCATTTTAGATGTTGTTGGCGCGACAACAACATAAGATATTGAAGAAAAGACCCAGACAATGAATTCTTGGCCAGATCGATTCCCATTTTTACGATAATACAAAGTGCATAAGGACCTCTGCTGAATACATTACTGAATGTTGCATTTCAAATGATAAATCTATTCTGTTTCTATTCTTTGATAATCAGTTTAATAACGTTTTGTTAACGGATTTAAAAACCACAGTGTTTGCAAATAATAGTTATAGAAAAAAGAAAAAAAAAAACGAAAATATTTTAAATGATATGATGTAAAATATTCATTAATTTATATTTTGAATATATGCCACACACATATGGGGCTAACATATGAGCATTTAATATGAACTTGTGATTGCAGGTTGGTTTTAACGCTGGCAACGGTACGCAGTCATATGAGTATACACCTTATAGCCAGGATATGGTTGTACGTGACTTGACTGGCCGCGGTTGGGGGAACGGTTTCCCGGGTCGCCATATATTCCGTATAGACGAAAGAATCTTAATTGGTTCATGCAACAAGGATATTGGTAAGTATTGGCAGCATAGTATCTTATATTGGAACGTTTACATCTCCAATCCTCTTCGCGCTCATAGTTTTTCCTTTTTTTACTCGATATTTATTTATTCATTTCAACACTCTTAAGGCTAAAGGGCTTAAATTACGCGATTATAGAGAAGATTATCAAAACATAGTAACATTTACAGTCTTCAGGTTCAAAGAAGACAAATTTTTGTTTAGAATATTTTTAGACTTAAAATATTAACAAAGCGAACTTAAGTCCAAGTGCTAAAACTACGACATTATATATCTTCCACAAAAACAACAAGCAAATGTACACCAAACAGTGTACATTGCTATAGGCATTAAAGTATGAGAGACATTAACCTAACTAGGTCAAGTTAACCTAAACTACATATATAAAGAAAAACATACAGAAGTCCAACTAATTATATATGAAATATATAGCTATTTGCGACGTACGGTCTATCGCATTGAGATTCGAACCCACCACCACCGACTTGACAATCCGAGTCTTATCGCTTGAGCTAAGCGATAGCCCTGACGGGAAAGAAAGTGAGATATTGGGTCGTCTTTATTAAGTAAAAATCAAGAATCCACATGTATGACCATGGTTTTTAGATGAAGTATAGAAAATGGGCGTAATCTTCTCAAAAGTAATTGAAAAGCTGAAGCATATTAAAGAGAATGCCTACAATGCTTACTCATCTTAAGTTTAATGCCATATCTAGCCTTCTAATTGATTCGACCATACATGATTTCAATTGAAAGAGGAATATGTTTGCATTTAAGAAACTCTATGAGGTAAAGGGCATCCAAGGTCTGCTTTAAAGTGAATAAATATTTTTTGGTTTTATTTATATTTCTGTAGTCGAAAAATATGATTTACATTTTAATTTGTGTTTTTGCAAACAATGGAAAAATATATATATATATATATATGTACAATGTACTTATATATGTATATAGAAGATATATGCAATTTAAAATATTAATTTGGATGATTTTATTTGTAAAACAACTTTTAAAACGCAAAATGAAAAAGATTCGCTCTGTTCATATTACTTCTGTACCAGGTTGAGTATTATACAGACGATTACATAGCTCTCGAAATACTCAGCAAAGATTTTTTGTAGAATAAAAGTAAATCCCACTTAACTTTACATTATGTTTGGGCTCATTTTAAAGGCGTCGAGATTACAGTGTTGTTCTTTTCTTTATTTTTTTTTCACACTTCTTTACTTTCAGATGCTTCACATTTACCCTTAACTTTTGCCCCAGAATCAGGCAACATGCTGGGCGGTACAGTAGTTAATATCACTGGTCCTTGCTTTGATCGTAATGTGCGTGTAATGTGCCATTTTGATACTGAAGATGTATTAGGTCATTATGTGGATAAAAATCGTGTTATTTGCATTCAGCCGTTCCTTAAAGCCGAAGGTTATATCCGTTTGGAAATTTCCGTTGGTAATGAACGCTTCAAATGGCGTGGCAAATACTTTGTTGGTATGTTTTAAATGTTTTTTTTTTTTTTTTTTTTTAATTCATACAATGCGAAATCTTACTTATAATTAATTGTTGCTTCTTAGAAACTCCCGATGCAGCCGCAGAGAAAATTTTTTTTGAAACTGATGATGTTCACAGAAAGGCACCCAAAGAGATACGCATTAATTGGAATGCTTATAATTTAACCACAAATGCAAATGCAAATATTATGATATCGTTGTGGGGTTATCGTGAAACCACAATACAGTGAGTTACGAATAAAAATTTTTGCAATTTTGTGCATTTTATTATATGTCTCTGTTATATGTCTTTGCTTAATTGTATTTAGCCCTCAGTTGGAGTATATTGATGTTATTGAAGCAGGCCTAACGAATACGGGACATTACGTTATTGCTCCACAAAATTACGCCAATCGTAATAATATCAACAATGACTTGCAATTCGGTTTTCTACAGATTAATTTAACTGATCCCCAGCAATATAATGGTTTACAAATAAGTCCGTAAGTAATTTTTTAATTCATTTCATGAAACAATCATGAACTATTCATAATATTGAAATTATAAAATAAGATGCAAAGCCGCCCATAAGTGCAATAAGTTATCTATTTAAAACGATCTACGTCTAATTTAGCAATAAATTGAATTTACATTTTCTTTTAGTTCATCCAACATCCTAAAGCGGTATTAAAATTATGTATATTTTGTTGAAATCATTCTCTTTAAACAAACAGCAAAAAACAGTTTTGAAGGATAGAGAAGAAAGAAAAAAAAAAATTAAAAATATTGTTTCTGTCTTGAATCGAAGCGAGAAGATGTGGGATAAATATAAGCAAACTCCTCTTTTTTTTTTGTTGTTTTTTTATTAATCTTCTTTAGGTCAATTTATTTTTATTATTTTAATGTATTTCATTTTACTGTTAAGATGTTGTCGCATCGCAGTCCATGCATCGCTTTAAATTATTATCAAGAAAATAAATCAATTGTTGTACAAGAGCATATTAAACTTGTGCGAGTGTGTACAACTGCCAGAAGGACTTTCGATAGAACCTCCTTTTCTTACACCGGCCGCTTCAAAATCACTTTCTGAATGGACTTAAGCTTGTCTATTCGTCTGGTTTTCAGCCTACAGATCATAATATTTCAAATCCGGTACACTGACGTGTTTTATCCCGAGATCGAACGCCATTAAAAATGGTTTGGTATGGACTGAAACATCATTATTTTTACCACGTTTTAAATTGCTTACTAATTAAGTCATTTTTAGTACAACGTGCCACTAATGTTATCAAAATAGCGAAAGTCACTGACGGAGGAAAACTCGTACCGCTGAAGTTATGCACAAGTATTTCAAAGCAAATTTTTAGTCGGCGTGGACTTAAAATGTAAGCAAGAAGCTTGGAATCATAGGAATTGCCACGTGAACAGATTAATGGTTCAGTCTAATACGATCCTGTCAAGTTTCCTGGCGAATGTCAGACCAAAAATAAATTTTTCTTTTGGCACATAGAATTGCAGTACTGAATTTGTTCTAATCGCATAAAATTGCAGTTGTATACCATATTTTCGGACAGGAGAAATATATAAATTATCATTAGTTATTCATTTTTCCCATCTGTATGGCAATTTCTAAACGTCCCGCCAAAAAAATTGTTGCTCTTTTGAGGCAAATTAGCTCTCGACGTATTTTCATTAGAAGTGAAGCGTTGCTCAGGAAATGCGCTCCGATATATTCTGTGTTGGAAAAAGTATTTTTACGTTGCAAGCTATCTGCAAGCTATGAAAAAACACAGCTTACTTCTCACATGATGTTAGGGCCATCTACGGGCAAATTCCTGTTTCACGGTGTATATTTTCATATACGTAGTGATCTCGTATAATAGAAATTACCAGCAGACATTGTCCAAAGTCTTTATATAAAAGCATTCCATGAACTTTCAAGTAAAATTAATGCTGACCATCTGTTGTTTTACTGTGGATTTGAAGTTAGGCTTCAAAGCAAACATAACTTTCTTACTAGTACATACTTACAATACATACTTCTTAATGAAAAAATGTAATTTTCTGCAAAATAAATCACAAAATTTTCTGGCGTACGTTTCGCTGCATATGCTTTATTGCTGCTGCAAGCATATTTTATTGTAAACATATCTGACTGGCAATCAATTGCATTCAATTTAAAATTGATTCCTTCATTCATTTTCAGCCAGATGCACAATTTCAAGTACATGCATATTGTACGTGCTTTTGCATTGTAGTGAAGCAATGCGAAAGTAAACAATAAAATCATAAATTTTATAAAGAAATTAAACTAAAATATCCTAAGGCTGACGATTGCCTAACGATATGATTAAAACCTATCCATTTTGTCATATTCTATGCGTGCGTGGGTGTGTTTGTTTCAATTTATTATCGATTTTATTACAGTATATTATGGTCGAAGCCAATACCTTTAGGTTGGTACTTTGGATTTCAATGGGAACGTAAATACGGCCGAAAATGGCCACGAGCCTTATGTGACAATTGGATACGTAGTGATAGGTTTTTAAGGTAAGTTGTTGAGAACCAGTCTCAAATTCCTGTACGTTTTTTTTTGATTCTCTTACGTTGTTTAGAAATTTTGCTGCCGATTTACCGTTGTGTCCTTGCACTTTAGAGCATGCGCTTTACGATAAGGGACGCTATAGGCCGGATCGTGAATGTGATAAAGATTCCAATCCGACTTGTTTAAGGCATAAAGGAGCTATACATTGTGTAGTTAGCGGTACGCCTACGTAGGTCTTGAATTCGTTTCTCTACAAAGACATTTCATCTGATGATTGATTTTTAATTGTATAGAGGTCAAGGTGCTGAGCAACAGTGTTGTTATGATCGTTACGGTTTCTTAATGCTATCATACGATCAAATGTGGGGTTCTCGTCCACGACGAATTCATAATTTAGGTAAAATGCCTTGGAATGAGGCAAGCAAGGTGCCTACCTTATCCACATGGTTCCACGACATGCGCCCTTTCTATTCGTGTTGTTTTTGGCAAGAAGAACAAGCTGTAGGTTGCGAGACTTTCCGCTTTGAACGGCGTCCCTCACAAGATTGCGTAGCTTATCAGGCTCCGGGTGTGGCAGGAGTCTTCGGCGATCCGCATATTATAACGTTCGATGGAACGCAATATACTTTTAATGGTTTAGGAGAATTCGTGTTGGCTCGAAGTGTTGATGCCGAACATCGTTTCGAAATTCAAGGGCGTTTCGAGCAAATGCCGCCTAATCAACATGGTGGAGTAGCTGCCACTCAGCTAACAGCATTGGCCATGCGCGGCAATACCACAACAACAATTGAGGTTCGCTTACGTCCAAAAGAGGCCCGTTGGCGTTACAAAGTGGACGTACTGGCAGATGGTCGCCGTATTTACTTTGATCGTGAAAGTTTAAAATTTCAACATTTCGATGGCGTAACCGTTTACACGCCCACATATCTACTTAATCAGAGCGAGGTTGTGGTTATGTTCGACTCGGGTATAGGTGTTGAAGTTGTAGAGAACGAGGGCTACATGACCGGACGAGCATATTTGCCCTGGCACTTTATAGTAAGTGACATATGAAAAGTGCCGGCTGTTTAAAAAAATGTTCATATTTTTAGAATAAAACTTCCGGATTGTTTGGCAATTGGAGTTTTAATCCGCTGGATGATTTTGTTTTACCGAATGGTCTAATGCTCACCTTAAACCTAAATGATTTCGAACAATTGCATAAAGAGTGGGCGATGAAGTGGATGCTGGCCGATCGCGATTTGTCTGGTTTAGGTTCGGCTTTATTTACGCGAGAATTTGGCAAATCGGCCAGTTATTATTCGAATCAATCGTTTGTGCCAAATTATGAAGCAGAACCAGAAAACTTTCTACCAGCGAATCGATCCTATGATATTGAGCGGGCCGAAGAATTGTGCGGAGAAAGTTATCAGTGCCGTTATGATTATGGCATGACTTTGAATCGAGATTTGGCACATTTTACAAAAAATTATTACGACAGCATAATAAACATAAGAACTTTGAATTCCAAGTAAGTTATTGTTAAAGCATTGTAAACAATTTTGGTAACAATTTGTCTACTTGATGAAGACGTATTTTATCATGCGGCGTCTTGGAAACGCCTCGTTTTGGTCGTAAGTTAAGTTTCAATTTTATGCCGGGCGCAAAAGTTTCCTTCGAATGCAATGAGGGTTTCGTTTTAATTGGCGACCAAAGACGCGAATGTCTATCCAATGGTTTATGGAATATGCCCGAACACGGTTATACGGAATGTCTTCGTAAGTTTTTTTTAGTACATATTTTGAATAAGTGAAAGAGGTGAAGGTGTAATTAATATGCATTTTCGACTTGAAGGTGAAGTTTATTATACGAGGCGCGTGGCCTTCATAGCAATTGGCATTATTTTAGCTGTTATATTGCCATTGATGCTGTGCATTGTTTGTGGGGCTTATCGTTTCCGTCAGAAACAGCTTAAGGAAAATCCGCAATGGCAAATGTCTTTGCCGCGTTCAAGGGCATCGTCGCGTACAAATTTACGTCAAATAAGTAACGGTCCCGATGATGACAGCGATACGGATCAAATGGGAACTATTAAAAAGAGTAGGTCTTATGATAAAGTATATCACACGAATGAACCACTACCGGGCAAACCCCGAATTGACTTTCCAGCTAAGAAATGGGATCTCGATGAGGAGGACTTCACATCATCGGAAGGTAGTGGAAATAAAGATTCGAAATTAGCAAAGGATATTGAATACATTAATAAAACAGGTGAAAAAACAAAACAAGTTGGTAGACGATCCTTACATTCAAGCTCGGGACAAGATGAGGGTACAGCGATTGACGAACAAGATGAACTCGACGATGTGGGAAGTTTGCAGTCACCTACTTATAAACGGAACGGTTTCACTGATTTACCGAACGGTTTAAAACAGCAGCAATATAGTCCTACATTTAGTGCGATCGATAGCCGAAATAGTGGGGCCAGTTCCATGAGTTATCAACCGAATCAAACGCGTTATGGTGGTGTTGCAGTATTACCAAATGCTAACGGGCAATTTTTCAATCGTACATCTAACGCACGTCCCGCGCCCATAGTAACTGCATTATCACAAGAAAATGGCTTACCTTCACCGCCGCATGGTGCTTCGCCAACACCTTCGGTGCAAAAGTCTACAGAAGTTTAGCGTGTAGGCATGTAATGCATTACTCGAGATTTAAACCGTAATGCAATTTCCCATCTTTTGTTTACTAAAAGGATAGCCATGACTTTATTAATTCTCTTCTCTTCATACATACTTCAATGTTATAATATTTAATTTTCCTATACGTTCAATTTTAATCCTTTTTAATTACTTTAAAATGGAAATATTTTTTATATATATTTGTAATATAATAACAGATTTCATCGCATTTCATGTGCATACATTTTTCGCTTTAAATCATTTCATTATTTTTGCTTTCACACGTGTTTATTATTCATATGTGTGTGTTATGCAATTGTACAATGAAACAATAAAAAAAAAAAATTTGTATTTTCCAATTAAAAGCTTGCAATTTTAGTATTTATTAATTGTTTGAGTCAATTATTTGTGATTATAACATTCACTTAAATGAATTTTGGGCTTTTAAATTAAATACTAATAAGTAATTATTTGTTAATTTCACTAAATATATAAAGCTGACATAATGCCAATTGCTTCTCGTTTCAACACTACTGTTGGTGTTCAAGTTCGATTCTAAACATTAAATTCATTAATATTTTCATAGAAATCCAACTATCTTGACTGTAATACTATCCGCTAGATTTGTCAAATAATCCGTTCTCTTTCATTAAGTAAGAAAATCGTTTAGCTTTGTAGCGAATCTTAAGTAATGTGTTTTACGCAAATGTGCGAAGGCCTTAAAGCGATACGTTATCAACCAATAATTAGATTTCAAGTAGCCAGCGATATTACTTTAAAGCTCGACTTTTTTAAAAATGTTTTTCAATTTATTTCCAGCCAATGAAGGCAAATGGCCTTTCAAGGCTTTTAGAGAAATGTACCTCTCAGCAGTTCGAAATTTTCTGCTCATTCTTTCCCTTCAATGTATTCGTCACGGAAAAATTTTCCCTTGCCTAGCATTCATTTAATCCATTTGCTGAAGATATTTCTCTCAAACTATTTCCCAGACACCTTGTCTGAGCCGTTTTTAGTTCAGATGCGAGTCGTTAACTTTTTTTTATTTGCTTTAATTTATAGGGCATACACTTGAAAGATTACATTTAAAGAATTGTAGACAGATTTAATAGAAAAATTAAAGAACTTGTTTGTTTTCCTTTGCAAAGAACTTTTCTTAAGTAAATACTAATAATTTTATACAAAGTAAATGTGAAAATATTCTCACTCATTCATGCGTGCGTACAAATGTCATTTCCAGCGTTTGTAGAAACTAGGAGAATATATCGATCATTTACAGTTGAATACACTTGAGACCGCAAAAATAAATGCCAGAAATTCATTGTCATCTACAAGCAGTAGTTTGTAATTTGTGAACCATAAATAAATACATATTTAGGCTTAGGTGCAAGTATTGTGTGTTGCTTCGAAATTAAAGACATTTTTTTTTTTTTTTATTTAATGAATTCAAGGATTAGATTATTTTTGCCTTTAAATTATCTTAAAGTTACACTCTCTCTCTGTAAGGAGACTATGTATACATATGAAAATATTTTTCATTCGTTATTTTATTTAGGTCCTGAAGAACATCATGCAAGAATCGCTAGTATATCTTTGGGTTTAATTTTGTTGATTTTAATCCCCACGTTATTGTCGGTGGTATGTGCTGCACATTATTGGATTCAAGAGAAGATTAAACAAGAAGAAATTGCTGGCGATAAGCAACAGACGGAAAGATGAGAATTAAACTAATTGAAGGATACTGATGCTGTGGCAAAAGAAACGTTTCACGCATGAGTAATCCAATGCGCTTGTGAAGATAAATTGAAGTTTTTTTTTTTGAATATAATTTCTAAATCATATTTTCCTTTTCTCTAAATTGATTATAAACTATAAAATTTTCATAATTTATTATGAGAAAACATATTCTATTCTAACTATATACAACAACATACAACAGTGACTGTACTAGATTTGTGAATGTTTGCAATGAAATGTCCGTTGGAGAAGATGCTATAATGTATATATATATATATATGCATTGACATATATATACATATATATTTAATGTCCGTAAATAGAATAGTTGGTGTAGATATGTCTACTTGAACGTTTTTCATCCATACATGCATCACCATAAGCTCAAAATTTAATCTAGAAGAACATATTAGTTTTCGTATTTTCATTTATCTTGCATCTTGGTTTAAAAGTCAGCTAAAAATCGCAATTAATCATTGCTTTAAAGTCTACGTTAGCCGGAATTTCCGCTAATTATCACTGCGTATAAATAATTAACTATAAATTGCTGTGAATTTGTAGCAGATAAAACAAATTTGAAATGTAGAAAAAGTGAGTTATGCTCGGTAGAAAAAAATTAAAATTTTAATTAATCTTGCAACTAAATACCGTAGAAAACTTTACGGCGAGTAATAAGAAATTGATTTCTTCAGCAATACGATATTCTTTAAATCACACTATCGTTAAATATCCAACATGAGAGAGAGAGAGAGAGAGCAAATCGAATTGTTGAATTTCTCTCTGGTAATATCACTTACTCTTGTGTATTATTTTTCATAACTTTTTCAAACTTAACCAAATAAATTCTTTTTTCTCACGCACATATGGCAATGCCTCTCGCTCTCTCTTGCTTTACTTATTTCTTTAGTGTGAATTTTTACTAAATCCGCAGCAGCTGCAAATAATTTCGCGTATTTTTATTGTTTAATAGAAAGCCTAGTTTTTCCAAGAATTACTGCAAATTTGTGTCTTGTAAATATTTAAATATTTTAAATTTAGATCCGTCGATATGGATTTATAAAAATATTATCAATTTCAGTGTAAAAAGTGGAAATTATTTTATTTATCTATTGCCAAGTAGTGACCACGATTATTGAGAGAAAAATTAAAAAAATTGCTTCGAATCATTTTAAGTAAAGGTTTAAAGAGTTTCAACTAAAGAAAATTCAATATTAATTTATGTTTTCACATAGAATCTTCAAAATAAATATGCAAACATTCAATAGTAAACGGTTTCATTAACGATAGAAACTTGAGCAAAAAATATGTTGCGGTCGAAAAACTATAATGTGCAAAAACAATAACTTTATATTAATATAAAGGGAGGGAATTTCAATCTTTGGCAGACTTTTTAAAAATACTTATAGAATATAAAGCAAAATTCGAATCCCCTTCACTTGGGGTCACATTTCGTGAGAGGGAGTTTTTTTTCTTATGAACACTTCTAGGAGAAAGGTAAATAATTGATTTTTTAATGTGTAAATTTTTATGAAAATTATATATGTCTTTACCCACGATTTTTTTTTATTGATCTAGTTTGTTTATATTGAGTAAGTGTATTTATTCTTCTTATTAACTATAATTTAAAAAAAAATAAAATGTCTTTACCCAAACTTCGTTCGTATGACTTAGTTTAATGCTAATGTAAACTTTTTCGTTATTTGTAGGAATACAAGATGGTTTGAGACTTTTAGAAGTTTCAATATCCTCTATCGTAAAATGGGATCGTAGTAGAGTGGATACTAAGAAGAAGTATATATTTTTAATTAGTCAAACATTCTGAGTTCGCCTATTTTTGATTCTCCAGCATTAAAAAAAATTTACATAAGGACAGAAATCCATTGCATATGTTTTAGTTTGATAGCCAAAAATAAACCTGAAAAACGTCTGTTTTTTAAACTCGAGTAAATTTTGCAAAAAAAAAAAAAAACGAAAAAACGATGATTTGTTTTTCATGTTTTTAACAAACCTTTCCTCAAAACAAATAAATAAAGAATCCAAAAAGTGAACTCAATGGAAGAGGGGATGTAAACGGTGTAAAGCTGCATAAATTTTATCGAGTTTCAGATCAACTTTCAAGATAATATTTTGTGCAATAACACTGTCCCTTTTAGTCCTTTCATTCTTCGCTTTCATACCATAGCATAGAGCATTTAAAAGAATCGTATCTAAATCTCATTATCTACTCATCGCTACATCGTCCACTCTAAAATACTATGTCGCTTCCATTGAAAAAAAAGAAAATCTTCTTGCAATAAATGGAAAACATATTTTGAAATTTCATTTTTAAATAACTTTATTACTTTAATATATTTTTGGTTTATTTTTATTTTTACATTATTCATGTTTGTATAGATGTGTTTTCGTTTTATTTTTAAATTTTCTGTTTATTCATATTGATTTTATTTGATTTATTTATATATATTGAAATTTTACACAATATCCGTTTAAATATTTATCAATTTTGTTAGCTGTCCTCGTTTTTTTTTTTGTGGTTGTTCTTCTTTTTGCTATTGTTGTATATACGCGTGCATTTGTGAGTCGTGGGGGCGCTTTAAGGAAAACATAAATAATTTTATGTATATTGCAGTGATTGGTGCCAAATGCATATTTATTATCATATTTTTTTTTTTATTTAAAAAATAAAAATTAATTGAAATTATTTAACAATAATAAATAAAACCTAAGCTATAAATTTTTACTATCTATGAATATAGATGATAAGCATATAAAAATTTATTCAATTTCTTTTTCTCTCTCATAAAATGCCTTCGCTTTCAGGCATCTTCAGCGACGTGATCTCATGCTTATATTGCTTAGGATATATGACAGCAAAAAGTTACGGCCGCTTGATAATAAGTGAAAGTAAAAGTTTAGGTAGATTATTAGAAACCTTACAAAGACTGAGAAAGTTTATCTATCAACAGTGAAATATATATGAAATCATGTTTCAAATTCTTTTGCTTTAAATGTTTATTCAAATAATTTATTAAGCGAAGTGAACATAAGGAACGAGACCTTACCTCATGTTAAACTAAATAAGAACAAGCAACTTGCTGATCTTTACTCTTTCTTGCTTTTGTTTTTCGTTGAGCCTCCACAGTGATCTGTTTTCTCTACATTCTTTCTTACGTTCATGTTCATGTGTATCCATGTATTTCCCTCTGCTCATTCGTTTTCATTTTCAAGCGATTTTTCATCCGTTAATCCATATACTCTACATCGGGGTAGATGTGCTTCTGTGTGCATCCAACTAATCTCTCCGTTTGTTCGTCACAAATTGAAGTACGATTGAAATTTACAAGAATTGAAAGAGAAAATTATATCCGCTCGGACCAGACTTGAAACCGAACGTAATTCATTTATGCATTTATTGAGAAGCATTAAAAATAAAAGCATAATAAAAAAAGGCATAAAAAATAAGACAATTTTGCTTTAATTGCAACAATGACTTAGAATGATCATGTGAATCGATTTAGGCAGGTCTATCCGTCGGTCTGCATCAGGATAGCCCAGTTATTTTTATGTTTAACCTGCAAGTTAAAATTTTTGAATCATTTTGTAAAAATTTGCTACGGTAACGTTTTTGGGACCGTGGACAAAGTCTATTGAAAATAGATTCTCTTAACCACTCATCATATAAAGCTTTATTTTTAAAAAGCGGGTTAATTGAAAACTATTTACCAATTCTCAAAATATCGCAAGAAAAATCGCTGAGCAGTAGTACTTCGGCATCAAGTCGAATTTTTGAAACTTCCCCCTATACAGCCGCTCCTATAAGAAGGAAGCCTTTAATCGGCGTTAAAGCAATTTTTTTTTGTTTTATGAGGGAAATTATTTTAACATAAAAAGTAACTGTAAAAAATCAGGACCGCGTTGATCTTTTTCGATCTCGTATCCTTTATTGAAACTCTCAGAGAAAATATGCCTTTACATGGAAACCATTCGTTGAAAATATTATGCAACTTTCGAGCTTGAAGATGGATCCATCTTTTGCTATACCGATTGATTCAAAATCATTTTCCGAATCGATCTAAGCTTGCCTGTCCGCCTAGTCGCCTTCTTTTCGTTTGTTCAACTGGCAGGTCACACTTTCTGAGATATTTTAATGAAATTCGTTACACTGACATGTTTTACTTCAAGGACGAATGCTATTAAGAATGAATCGGATCGCATTATTTTTTTAAACACTTCCCATATCACACATCATTTTGAAAGGTTGACGCATGGATAAGTGGAGGGTGGTGTTGTGTTTAAGGGTGTGTCGCGTCCCCCCTATTGTGTTTTTATTTGCCAACGATGAGGAAACGTAGTAGTTTGTACAATTAACTGATAAGGAAAAGATTTTCTTTTCATTTTCTTAGAGATTTCCTTCAAGGATATTTCATAATCATTGTAGAATTTCTTTTCAAATGTCCTTTTAAAATTATACAAAGATTTTAAACTGTTGCTCTATGGCTTTCCAGAAATATTATATAAGAGATAGTTCAATAAGTTCGTAGGATGACATACAGATGCGGAATGATCCTTGACATCTATACGCGATGTGTTACATTTATGGATTCTACGGAAACCTAGAGGCGAATACAAATTAGTAGAAAGAAACTTATGCTACAAACAACAAATTGTTTATCCAATTTTTCTTTATAGAAATATAAATAAAGAAATGATACTGGAAAGCAATAGAAGAGAAAAAGGATTCTGTTTATCGGTATCTTTTAGGTGCATCTGAGTCTCTAACTAATGATTGTTGTGATGACTTTCGGGTGGATTAGCTTTTTTTTGCCAATTATTTTATGTATTTTTGTACATATATAAGTGTGTATGTGTGTGTGTGTGTGTGTGTGTGTGTGTTTGCATATATAAATCTCAGTTATATGTGGTTATTTAATATAGATATCGCTTGCATTACCTTATCGACATGTAAACCTCAATGTGTTTTAATATAGATTTGCATATATTTTTGTGGTTTTATTGGAAATATATAGACTTAATATACTATAAAGCTATTTTCAGTTACAGTTTAACAGTTTGTTTTTCTTTTTTTCTTTTTTTTTTTCTTTTTAATTCATTAAAGTCATGTAAATATCATTTATGTACATGTATGTGCAAATGGATGTTTAGGTGTATATATGTTAGAGAGGCGAAGTTATGTCAACTGAACATTTAATAATAAATTTTATGCTTAATGTTTTTATGTTTGTTTCTTTGTTCAATGTTTTTTTTTTTTTTTTTTTTTTTTAAAGGATTTTCTGTACTTTGCATTTTGGTCTAACATCCCTTTGTTTCCATAATTTTTTCTTTTTTTTTTCAGTTTAGTTTAGTTGTTATAGATGAAATTTTTTAGTTGTGCAATATATAGTTCAGCATATGATTTACGTTACATAGAGTTTTTCTTTTTTTTTTTTTAATTTCAATTAATTTTATATATATATATATATATATATATATATATATATATGTGATTTTCTCTTAATAAATTGTTCCATTGGTCTATACTTTTGTTATCGTTTATTTCTTGTTCTTATTTAAATATGAATATGTTTTTATGCGGATTTCCTGTCTATTTGCTATTTTTTAAAACTTTTCTAAATTTTTTAAAATATTTTATAAATGTCTTTTAGAATTTATATATATATATATACATATATATATGTATGTGGAGGTTAATCTTCTTCTTTGTGCTAACATACAGCGTTCTCAGAGAATATGAATAGATTTCAGTGGAGGAGATTTCTCCTTGGAGGAGATATCAACATTGCATGTGTGTATGTGATCAGTTTTTTCTTTTCTTTTTCTTTTATACGTATGGTATTTACATTTGTATTGAGAGACTAATTTTATATAAATATTGGTTCAGTAGAATTGTTCTTAAAAAAATTCAAAAAGAAAAAAAAAAAAAAAGAGATCAGAAAAATTTTATAATTATTTTATATTACGATGCTTTAAAAAATATTTATGGAGTAGAGAGACTTGAGTTTATCGTAACAGCTCGCAAAAGAAAAAGTATAATATCAGGAAGTAATTGTTTTGTTAGGAAGTTATAATGTGTTTACAATTCAATGCTATTTATATCGCATTTGAGTAGCATTTTTATTTAGCATTTTGTGAGTACTTGGCAAATTTGTATATAATATATATATATATGTATATGTAGTACGTGGAGTGCGCAAAAGTATGTTACGTAGAGAAGGCAGTTCGCTTACTTTTTATTTATTTACTTATTTTTTTATTTTTATTATTTTTCTATCCACCACAGCAACATTCGTGTCTAGTGATTAAGTCATTCATTATGCTTGGAATTCTAAAAAATATTCATAGGAAAATCCACCAAAGTCACATAGCTGAAACTTGCACTATACGAGATTCTAAATGAGTTTTATTTGAGCTTATCTGAGCGTTGACTACCGTATGACTTCACAATCATTGGTAATCTGGCCTCTTGTCATATTGCGTATGAATGTCTTTCTTGTTGTTGTTGTAAGTTGTCTATCTGTTCGACTGTTTCCTTCCTTTACTAATAATACATTCGATAGGAGCTTTGTTTCTTTGCTCTTTCACCATATTATTCGCTCATTCCGCTACCGAGTTCTTGATCCTTTGTCAAGTTTTCTTCGTAGTACTCTTAGTAATCATCGATAATTTTGTTCGTCCACGTCTACCGACCATTTCTGTTTATTTTGTAGTGCACAAACTCTTGACTCCGCTTATGACAGAATCGATCGATGTTTGACTTATAGGGTCTTGGGAGTGAATTCGCCTTCTTCCAATGGTCTGCCGTAGGATTATTCGTTTTTATTGCAATTTATTTGTCCGTACAGCGTAGATCGGCATGCCAACAAGCTTGTACTTGATTTTCCTATAAGTAGCTAAAGTGGTGGGTATCCGATATTCGTCCCTGGACGAATATATCTTTCTAACTTAAATTATGTGTACATATATGTAGAAGGATTGCTTATCTTATTTTATTCTGCATTTAAAAAAGATGAAAGTCAACGCTGCAAAGAGAAAAAGAAAGTAAAAAGAACAAAAAGTTAATTTTAAACAAATTTTTTAAAAGATAAATAAACATTTTTTCAAAAAGACTAAACTGAGAGTGATTTAATCACATTCCCCTATACTCATATTTTATTTTTTATCACTTATTATTTGAGGGATGTCCTCTGCATATGAGCAAACTCAGTGATGGGCAGACAGATAGTAGTGGGAAAAGAGGGATAGAATGTGTGGCTGCAGACTGGGAATTGTGTGCCTGAATTGCACCCATACCGTGAAGAGAATTGAACCCGATTTAGCTTACTCGATAGTCGCGCTTCTTATACGATAAGTTACGTGGTGAAAGATTGGTCATAAATCTGCATTATGGTGAAGTAAAATTATGAGTCTTTTATGACAAGCTATCCTATCTTGGTCCACTACCACGCCGTCTAATTACTTTATTGAGAACTACGAAATGGACAACGTAGCCAGATGTATTGACTTGGGGACGATCATTGCTTGATGATAATATTGAAAAATGCGTCAATAAAGTTATTAAGAGGTGGCCCAAGGAATTTTTTGACTCTTCTGTTGTTTGACCAATTTTGAAATATCCATCTGCAGTGTGGGCAACAAGTTGCAGATGTAGCACTGACCTAACTGAATCGGTAGTTTGTGATGGTACGTTGACGGCCACTGACCTTCCCGCAATGCAAAATAGACGCGTAATGCTCACTTCTTCTCATCACGCTCTGATAAATAGTTTGGCTGTAAGTTGGTGTTTGTATTGGCTGAGAACTCTCACAATGAAAAAAAAAAATGGATAAATTTAAGATATTTTCTTGAGTAGCCCTCGGCTTACAGCAAATATTAATATCATCTCAGGCTATAAATGATCCAAATCGTTTCCATTAATACGATCACGACAGTTGCGAAGAAATAACTTGAGATGATAAGAACGCAAAAAAGCATCACAATGAAGATTTTCTTCTTGTTATTTTAATAAATTAATTTACATGAATAATGAACGACAGCATGTGCACTGAGATGGAAGAAAAATTGAAATGAAACCCTGCAGCAATTGAATTTGCGTAAAACAATTTCAAATGCCAACGTCTATGCATTCATTGCCTTTCTTTGAGGAAAACGTCAATGCATATGATTTCTAATAAAAAAAAAAAAAAAAAAAAAACAAAAAAAAAAGCACAATAATAAAATATTTCAATGAATCCTTTCAATGAGATTAGAAAGGAAATAGGACGTGTACGTCACTGCATTTAAAAAGCTTGTTGAGGTTTTTTTTTTTTTTATATTCTTTTTAAAGAAATGCCAATGTGGTATCTAATCTCTTTCTAGCCAGCTGTTCATATTTTGATTCGTTCATTCAACATTCATCTCTCCATTAAAACGTTTGCCCGTAAGCGCTTGTTTTAATCTTGAGCATTTAAAAAACAGAGACCGAAGACTTAATTAAGTTAATCAAGTAGGGAAATATTGACTGAGTGCTGCCTATTGGCTACACAACATGTTTTACAACTTTTGTAGATATTAAGATTCAAAATATCGTTTAAATATTTTCTAATCTAGAATAAAAAAAAAAAAAAAAATAAATAAACTTTTGATATCTTTATTTGTTCAAGGGGAGTGAAAGTGTACAGTGTTCATCATTGATTCATTCACAAATCTCTGAGCATAGAAAACGAAGACATGTAAGCTTAACTTCTCATCTTGTGCCTGAAAGAACTTTTCTTATTTTTAGGTCCAAGGGCGGTACTTAGACAGAGCTTGATATTAATTTTGATTTCTTTAATTTTGGTACATCTATACGATATCGTTGGATAGATGGACGAAAAAGTCCAAAAGAGGATGCGTCACACAACTCTCTGAATATACGAATAATAGCTAAGAAATCATGCTCAATGAATATAGGGACGTATATCGACCTCCTCGCGTTCGCTTTTTTTTTTTGAAAAATTTCTATAGAAAGTGAAAACCTAATCAATTCTAGGAATAGATATTTTTTTGAAGACAAATCGAATTTAAGTCGTTATAGAAATTGAATTTACTTTGAAAGAGATCCGTATCTATAAAAAAATAATTTAGAGTTTTTTTTTTTTTTTTTTTTAATTTCCTTAAAGTGATGCACAAAAAATTTACTCTGTTCCTCATGTTGTCTAAGATTTATGCTTAAATTATGCTCACATATCTTGAGAAATTTTGATGAAAGAATGAATCGTTTTTTTCTTTTTTATTTTTTCGTATTCGTTATGTAAATTATTTTTGTTAAAGCGAATGCATTATAAATCTTTTTCTCGCTTTCTAATTCAATTTATTGCTTTCGATGTAACAAATTCTATATATGTTATATACATTCTAACTAAGTCAGTAAGATATATGACAGTTTAAATGCTCCCCAAAATTACATACGGATATAAGAGTGAGCATGTATGAATATAATCTTGTTTGAAATTTTTTCGCTAAAATAATAACAAAACGCTTTACATTTTGGTTGTTAAAGATGCAAAAAAAAAGGCGAAAAAAATAGGAAACATTATTAATATCTTCAGGCAAATTCAAACACAAATTTAATATTCAACGTCAAAGTGAACTGCATGCAAGACAATAGCATTATAAACGATAGAGCGAAAGATGGAGATAGATAGAAAGAGAGAGAGAAAGAGAGAGAGAGAGAGAGAGAGAGAGAGAGAGAGAGAGAGAGAGAGATTGGTAAAATGTTAGAATGTAACGTACATGTATGCCGCATAGCTGATGAAGTTATCTGTGTAATGTAGTAAATGAATTGTGATACATGGATGTAAGAATTGCCAAAAGGTTTGTTCGAAAACGAGAAATGAAATGATAGCGGAAGAAAAAAGAAAAATAAAAAAAAGAAAACAGAATTACAAACATTTCGATAATGAATAGCGTTTAGGTACAATAGATGTAGAAATACCTTAAAGCTATATGATTGGAATATTAGAAGCAAGAATGGATGGATGATTTGCGTGAAAGGAAAAGCTTTGCGAATATTTTCATTCAGGATATGAATATTCAAAAACGAGCATTAGACGATACCTGAACATGTAGGGAATTTTAATAAATTCTATAAACTTATCTTAGAAATCACAATAAATTGCTGGCTGTATTTAGAAAATTGTAAATTAATCATTCAAGTGATCATTTTTTCCTACAAAGATTTAGAGCCACTTTAATATGGTTAATAACGGACGCATTCATTTTCAGTTTATTGCATTCAATTTTATTCATTCTTATTTTATTGAAGTTCTCTTTCGTAGGCTTAGCTACTTTTTCTTATTGATTTTTTTCTCTTTTTCGGGGAGGTTGTAACGGGTAAGGTTCGATTAGACGATTAGCACAAACCTTTGGAGACATTGCTACATTGTGTTTTGTTTGGTTTGGTCTAAAGCGTTCAAGAAATCTTTGAGAGCCCTTTTTAAGATTAGCTGGAGGCGAAATGGATAAAGTCGTTAATCTACTTGGAACTTTGTCACTGACAACGGGTCTTAAGAAATGACGATAATGTACTTCGAAAATTTAATTGATATTTATCGCGATTTTTGACGCCTTTTATATAGAAAGTTTAACACTACGTAGTACTGGACTTTGCAGAGATGCAATAGTTTCTTATAGAACTGAATTTTTTTTTTTTTTTTGTTTCCTTAGAATGACGTAGACACATACCTAATTTAACGATAGATAGTTATGACGGACCTGCAACAATCCAAGATCCCACAAAATATTTAGATAAATTAATTACAGCAAATTTTTACCAGTGCCGATGAAGGAGAATTTTGTCTAATAATGAATATCAGCTTTGATGGTATCAAAGACTTAATATAACTATGCTAAGAAAATGTTCTCTAAATAAAAACTCTTGCTTTCATTCATTTCCAAGATTTTATAAATGATACCAAGTTGTTGTAGGTTGATAGTAAGAAGAAGATAAGCCATACAAAAAAAAAAAAAAGAGCGCTGGAAAAAATAAATTTATTGATAGCAAAATGGCAGATATAAACAAAGCTTACTATGCTATAAAGGCATTACCGCATGAATTTTGGCTCACTATATATATTGAAAAAAAAAAAAAAAAAAATGATCAAATTTAGTGTTCTGAAACGATATCATTCATTCCTCAAGGCAATTGTCCTCGGTTGGCTTCTTCTTATCCAACATACGGCATTCCGTTTTGACTGTATGACTCTCAGGTATCAGGATCGTGGCATATTGACAAACAATTTGTGAAAAGGGTTAATTTCGCTATCATGACTAATTCTTATTGTTTTAGTTTAAGTAAGAAATATTTGGCCGTGTAATATGAAATAATCAAAAAATCGCAATCCAAAGTTTAGGGATTAAATTTCTCAATTTTTCTCTCTTTCTCTTCTCATATCACATAAAACCTTTTCAATGTCATTCGATGCATCTAACCATTGCAATAGCATACTTTATGGGATAGGAAGTGTAAGTCCCTTTAGAATTTGAAATGCATGAGCAAAGAAGAAAAATAGTCTCGATTTTTTTTTACGCTCAACAAAAGAATGCACGTTTTGTGATTTAATAAAATTGAAATTTTATAAAGATAGAGAGCCGGCCATCTTTCCTTGAAACATTCTTATGTACATAAAAATAATTTTTTATTGTACAAAAGCGAAAGTGTGCGGGAAAGGTCTTTTTAGAAGAAACGAAACAATGAAAAATAAATAAACTTTCTTTTATTTATTTGCAATTTCCTATTACGATTTAAAAACAAAAATAAGGAGAAAAATATTTAAAAAACATAAAATTAATCTCTTATTCTCTTTTTGTTTTCATTAAGAGTTGTCGAGAGAGAAAATTAAAATAAAACGAAAAAGCTGTGCAGCCTTTATATCGGAGATAAATCGTTAAAAACATCTTACTTGCATTTTCTTATAATTCCCCTTCAAGGCAACCACCAAAACTAAGCCAAGAAATCGTCAAAATTCAGTATACTAAGCTAGAGACTTATAGATCTTTCGTACAATCTGTGTTTGAGGGAAAGAAAGAACTTATGAACCCATTTGGTGTTTGCTGGCACGCTATCTTACTTCTATATAGTATTATTTATATAAACACAACATAGTCCACATATATATTTTTCATATTTTTTTTTCAATTTTTTTGAAAATCTCAATAAATAAGCATTTAAAGATTTTTTTATTTTTTTTCCTCGAAAATTAAAAAAAAAAAAAAAAAAAAAAAAAAAATTATTGTTAAATCTTTTCAGTCTTTTTATATGCATCGGATCTAAAAAATATTTTGCAAAATTTTCAAACTTGATTAGCTTTGTTTCCCATTTAAATACATAATCTTTTCGTGACATTACAGTCGGTCATGGCGCATCATTACATACCCTACATCAGTTCACTTAATACAATTATTCATATAATGAATTTGCAAAATAAAACATTCTATGTGGAGGAGGTCGGAAAAGTTGATCAGATTCATAGCTATTTTGATTAGTATTCGTCCTCTGGTCAAAATACTTCAGTGTATCAAATTTCATTAAAGTATCTCAAAAATTGCAACCTGTAGGTAAAACAAAAAAACCCATGGACGGACTGACAAAACGGTATAATAAAAGATAGATCTATGGTTCTATGGGCCTTGTACGCATCCACGCAAACTTAATACTCGCCTGTACGAGAAGTAGTGTACTATATAATAATTTTAAATTCGTTAAATTTTGAAAATGAAATTTATTTTGTGAAGATTTTTGTAAAATCTTGCAATCGGATAACCACTCGCTACAAGTTTTAGTGATGCAGTCTCTCACTTAGATTCGGTATGACACTGTTCCGATTATCGCAAATGGCAAATTTCCTTTGGATGTCGCCTATCTATAAATGTTACTAAAGGGATGAGAAAATTAAAATATTCGCTGGAGTGCGTATAACTGCATTAAAAAGTTTGCTGTTGACATTATTGTTATAATTAACTGCATTTTTTCTTTTTTTTGCGTATTCTTCGTTTCGTATGCGTTTGTTAAAAAACACAAAATGTCGTTGCGTGTTTAATTTATACCAGTGCGAAAAATGGCATAAAGACAATAAAGAGAGAATGAAATAAGTTCCTTAACTTTAATCTTATAATCAGATTAAAAATGTTTAAGTTCATGTACTTTTCTTTTCAACTTATTAAACCTTGAGTTAAAAACTTTAAAAAAACTATCAGAACTTATCCATTTCATCGATAAAAGAAAACTTCAAAGTCTTCTAAGTTTGCCTTCCTTTCAAACATAGCTACTACACATTTGTCGCCTTGTAATGTAAGTGTTTACATTATTCGAACATGTTAATAAATTACCTTTCAATGAATAGAAACCACATTCTTCTATATATATATATATATATATATATACATATATATATATACATATGTATGGATGTGTTGAAATGGAAACTTATAGTAGATTTCAGCAGCAACAGGACGAATTATGGCATATTTTCTATGTTTCCGTTGTAGAGCCATTTGCCTGCTCAGATATGACTACGTTGCCTGCAGATGTCGAAGGGGATACTGAAGTGTTACTAGATGTAGACGTCGTTCTTTCAGTTCGAGCCACATTTGTACGTGTAGCTGGTATAGGATGTATTTGATGTTGTTGTTGTTGTTGTTGTTGCTGTTGAAATAGTTGTGTACTTGTAGGTACTGTAGGCGTTTGTGGTGTCAAAATAGTATCAACAATACCCGTAGTACATGCACCGCCAATTGTTGCAACACTTCCACTATCCATGATGTTGCGTGTAAGAAACCAACAATCCATTGGTGTTGGTTTGCCTTTCATAACGACTGGTCCACGATATTCAAGATGAAATGAATCGTCCTGGTTGATCTCTTGGCAGAGTAATCTGTAAATGCAAAACAACAAAAAAATGTACACACATTCGTACATGGTTAATAATGTATCCTTATACAAATTATCGTGTATACGTTATAATATATGATAACCATGGTCATTTATTTCATTTCGATTGTAAACAAAGTCTTGAGATTATATTTAAATGAACAAGTAACTAAGGATGTTCTCATCCACACCTAAATATATTCAAAGTCATAATTAAACGTTAACAAATACGCACATCTCTGCTTGCATACAACCAAATATCACACTAAATTGTCACTTATGTTATGATTGTATTTATCATTTTCACTTGAGCTAATCGGATAATTCATTAAATTTGATTTCACAATTTGAAATTTAATTTGCACCTAACAATAAATGCATTTACCGTAAATGCATTCTAACCATAATTGAAGCAATTAGGAGAGAAAGGAATTCTCTTACTATGAATGATTCTGATGCGATTTTATAAAGCATATCTTGCAAGTCACGTACGGGTTTCTAGGTTATAACATATTTTTAGGCTTAAATTTCATAAACATTTTGTATATAAATTTTGTTGAGTGCACATTAAGATTTGGATATTATGTGCAGTTACCTTATATAAACAAATATTATTCATTTCAAAAAAGGAGAAAAGAGAATTTTTAAAAACATTTTTCACATTTGAAAGAAACCTTGCTTTTTCTTGTGTCGAATTGCGAATACTCCCTAACCTAAAAAAATTAATTGTGAGTTAAGTGATCAGCATGGTGCTTATATCGAACATTTAAGAGAGCGATTTGTATCAAATTTTATCTATATAAGTGTTCAAGTGCAACCAACATCGTGAGAAGGGAGATGTACTCATTTTGCTCCATCCGGGAGGAAGTGTGAAAAATCTCATAAAGTCTTTATATATTTTTGATCAGCATCATATTCTGCATTGAGTTAAGACGGTTTGTGTGTGTGTGCTTATTATGTCTGTGGTAAATGTTACTTCAAGATATCAATTTTTTCAGTATTAAGCATCTTTCAATTGAAAAATTCGATAAGTCGAGAGCAACGTAGCAGAGAGGTAGACATCAGATAAAATATTTTTATCAAAACCTATATCAAATCGGAATATTTATGTAAATTGGATGCGATTCAATTGAAACATATCCATCCTTACAGCAAATTTTTGTTCTTTTCCTGAGAAGGAAAGTCCTCTAATTTTAAATGCCATTTTTCAAAACCAAGAAAGCCGACCAGAAAAGGTGTTAATTGGTGTGGGCAGGGGATTGCTAATGTGCAAAAAAAAAGAAAAAAGTTACAGTTTGTGTAAATTAAATTTTTATTCAAGTGAAAGACGCACTTAAGCTGTGTTTTTTATCTTTTACACTTGTATTAACTCTAATTAAAAAAAAAAAAATATTGCCAAACTGAATGTAGTCTCTACTAAGTTAAAGAATTTTTTTATTTATGGTTTTCTTAAGTTGCTTATGAGATAAGCGGTATTCGGAAAGAGCATCCTTTTCCTGTACTTAAATCATATTATTTAAGTTTTGATATTGTAAATACGAGATACAAATCTCACTAGCGTTGCAAACGTTAAGAATTTGAAGAGAGAAGCAAGAGAGAGCGAAATAATTCAAATCGCTCTTTTTAAGAGTAACAGAATTTTCATAGATACAAATAAATTTACAAGTATCAATGAATTTCGCGTGACAAAGTTAGTGAAGAGTTAAGCGATTTCTTGTTAATTTCTTTTTAAAAATTAAAATTATATCTTATTAAAATTTATAAGCATAAACGATATTAAATATTATGCTTTATGGCTTTAACGTGAAGATAAATATCTTAAGTGCTTTCCATAACAGAAGTGAAAAAGTTTAATCAAAATAAAACTGATAAATGTTTACATGCAAATAGACGATAAAAAAACCATTCTCTCCATGTTACTCTGTATTTGTTAACAGCTGTTCCATTGAAAAAACGACTACGAATTTGGTCATATATGAAATTAATTCAAAAATAATTTGCTCCCATCTGAGAGTAAGCGTCTAAGTTTGGTTATAACTGAGAGTAAGCGTCTGAATTTGGTCATATCTGAGAGTAGCCTTTTAATGTAGAGAATTAATTTTCTTATATCTTGTCTACCTATACATTGGACGGGTTCAATTATTTTGTTTCTATGAACATGAAATTTTTTTTTTAAAAGCTGTATGTTCCACTATCTATAAATCTACGATTATGGACACTTAATTTATAAGTAAATATTATAGTGTTTTCTTTTAACAAAAATTATAAAATAACAACGATACTTCATGTATTGGGAAAATTTTATGGAATTTATCCATGTACCAGCCTAATAAAATTTTACTACTTGACAACGTTGCCAGAATTAAACCGAAATATATATGTACTTTGTATATTGCATGTACATGCTACAGGGTGCTTGGATCGATTTGTGATAGTTACATTTTATGATATCACAAAAATTAACATAATGGATGTTTTTGTATTTGTAAAGCAAGTTATTGAAGCAAACAATAAAAATTTTCAAAACTGATGACACATTTTACATAGCTAATATTTACTGTTACGAAAATCCCACATTCAATTATTTGGTCTTTCGTGAAAACCAGTGAATTCCAAGGAGAGGGAAAAGCAAAGACATAATCACGATGCTTTACCTGCCCTTCGTACCTGGCGACTGTCGAAAAGATTAACAACAATCAGAAGAATATTTACCGGAAGTAGAAATTAACTTAAAAATGTCACAATGAATTTAGGTATTGATAAACTGCTTTGAAGGGAATATATAAGCAGAATATTTGGAGAAGGCAAAATGAATCGAATCAAAAGAATTGAATCGTCATATTCAAACGGATAAGATCTAAAGAATCGTTGTAAAGATAAGTTCCTGTAAGTGATTTTTAAAAAGATCACCTAAGAAGTGCAATTACATCTATGCCGTCCTAGAGAAATTACAATTCATCGGTACGGATTTATAATTCAAAAGGCATTTTACTATACGCTATTATAATGTAAAACGGTCCCTTATTACTTTGCAGGTTGAGCTTGCATAACTGAATTGTGATTTTTAGGTTAAGGTAAGTGTTATTTAGGAGAAGTTTTATTTAGAAATTATTTACAGGAACTTGCGTTTGTAATACTTTTTCTAGTGCCGTATCTTTTTCATTCCTGTATCACGAATTAAACCCTCTTAGCTCAACTTTTTTGCAAACAAGCTACCGAAACCAAGTTTCTTTCTAATACTTTCAGGCCAATTGATTTTTATCTATGAATTGTTGCTCGAATTGTTGTTAATGTCTTCGCGAGGAGCCAGTTGCGTCGGCAGGTAAAACATCATGAATTTAAATCGCTTAATTTTCATGCAGACCCATTTTATCAAATGCAAGATTTTCATAACAATGTAATCAATAACAACATCGCTCTACTATCTACGTTTGAAGTGAAAAGTGATATTTCCAATTATTATAAAAAAAAGAAAGAAAATCAAACTTGGTCTGGCTGTACAAAGGATTCTTCGCTATCTACATGCCTTCAAGTGTCAGAATTTAAAAAAAATATAATTCACAGTTCATTCTGGGCTTTCGCTATAATACCCTGTACAATGGCAGAGAATTTTACATTTTAAAATTTTTTCATCTCTCTTTTTGTTTGCTCTTGTGTATGTACTCTTCGGTAAGAAAAAAGAGAATAATTTCTGCAAGCACCTAAAAGTTGGCTTCCTTACTATTAGAAAATGAGAAAATTATTTAGTTTTATTCAAGAATTCGTTGCAAAAGGAGAACACCGGTTATTTAAAATTATTTATTACACAAAGAGAAATTTTACCTGAGAAGAGTGTACAGAAAAAATGGGTACAGTTTTATAAAAAGGACATTTTACTCATTTTATCCTTAAAATGCGCAAATAACATATCAATTAAATAAGGGTAACAAATAAAACGAAACAAAAAAATAAAAGTTCAGTGACAACAACAATTGAATGAAAAATGACGTAAAAAAAAAATTGTAAACTGCTTTTTTATGTGATTAAGTTCGTTTCATATATAGTGACAAGCAGCAGCATTGATTGTATGGCTTCTTGCAGTTCTGACATTTTAAATTTGTTTCTTCACTAGAAGCTAAGTTCAGCTATGTGCAATTTCTGTTAAAGTTTAAATATTTAATTAAAATTTCTGTTAAAGTTTGAAAATTCAAGTAAAATCTCTGTTGAACATAAGAAGATATTGCAATTGTTAGCCTAAAGAGAGAAAGAGAGAGAGAGAGAGAGAGCGTGTGCTTTATTGAAAAACATCATGGAATTTATATTTGAATGTTTTTACGAGGATACTTTGGATAAACTTAGCCGAAGTGGTTTACAGGATCGTTCCTCTAGACGTGATGTTTTAGATCATTTAAATGCAATTATCGGTGGTTGTAGCGATGGTAAATGAATTTAATTAAACATTTTTTTTTATTATTTAATAAAAATTAAAATTTTATCATTTTCATGTAGGGCAAAACATGTTACCCGAAGAAGTGGCACGTATCGCTGTTTTGGCGGCCGTACGTTATCATCGTGATAAAAAAGATGCCAATGGCGATGTAAGGAATTTGTATTTAAATAAAAAATTTGTCTTGAATTTTTCCATTATTTTACAGTTTTTTTTTTTCAAAATTTTTAGGTTTGCTTAATGGGCAAATTTCACAACATTTTATATATAGCATTACGTACTTGCTGGGATTGGGGTGTACGCGACTCGGCCGTGGTCGTTGTTTTGTTAGGTAAATTTTTCCAGTTTTTATTTTTCTTTGTTTATAAACTAACATTTTATAAACTAACATTTAACTGTTAGTTTTTATTCCACACTAGAGTTTCAATTAAATCATTATACTTACAATGAAAATATTTTCATGCATATTTAATTCAATTTACATCTGAAGCCGAATGTATATTTGTGCATGAGAATTCAATTTCATATTGCCAAAAAAAAAAAAAAAAAAAAAAAAATACATTTGTGTTTTCATTTGAATTTGAATATGGGACTATATATAGATAACATGCCAGTAACTGAATACAGTTATCCGAGTACGAGTAGTATGCGTGTTTGTAGTTTTGTAGCTGAGACGTTTTACGAATTTTTGTTTCTCATTTTACACAGTAGTATATTATTATGCAGCTATTCCCAATAGCAATATATGTGTATATGTATGCGTCTCGTTTAAGGCTTCTCATGCAACAAGTGCATCGCTGTCCTCTTTACCATAAATGTTATTGTTGTGTGCAGAGATTTTTTTCAATAATACGAACAATAAATCAAAATTAAAAATTGTGTTAATATTTTCAATGAAAATTTGCATTTAGATTCAAAGCCTTAGATAAAACTTGATTGTTAGTAAAAAGTTAGAAAAAAAAAAACAAAAAAAAAAAAAATAAAATGAAAAAAAATTTGAAAAAATTCATTGTTTAAAGGACGATCAGTGCATCGAAGCGATTCCTATCGAAAAGGCCATCAGTTTGAATGATTTTTTTTTAAGGCCAGCAAAAGGCAATTGGGAAATTTTTCGCTCATTATGCGGCCCATTGCAAAGTTATTTTTTGGACTAAATTTACAAAGGAAAAATAAGAGAAATCAAACTTTACTTTATCATTGCAAAAATTTCCAAAAGATTAACAAAAACAAACTTTATTTATGCCTTAAGGCTCTATTTATGCCTTAAGGGCGAGAGCAAAAACTGTGAGACCTAACTTACTGTCATATCCATCTGTCGACCAATTCAACATCACAACGAGTCTCCGTATACCATTTCAACCATATTTACGTACTTTGGAGTCAATTCAATTTAAATTTCCATTCGAGTATTTATTTTTGTTTAACTTTGAATCTTGCGATTCAAGATGCTGAGCTTTATAATGCGCCAAATGCCGAAATTTTGCTCTATACAAACGTAACTACGTACATGTTTTTTTACATGAACAGCTGTAGTATAAGATTTATCGTTTAAAATAAATATTGATTGGAAAAATGAAGCTTTTAAGAAACACTTAGGGGCTCAAGGAGTGGATGTACCGCCAGAAAAAGTTCAATCGGCTTAGAATTTTGCGTTTTTCAAGAAAACTTTGTTTGTATGTGTAGAGTAAGTTTTGCTTACGGTGTTTGTAAATAAGAAATAAAAATAATGCTGTTGCCATGAATTTTAAATACCATTATCTGAAGTGAATAGATGAACGCACAAAACGTTTTGTTAATTTTTTCAAAGAAAAACACGAACAAAATAATTTATGCAAGAAGCAATTTTGGATACTAAAGTAAATACTGAAGCAAAGATAGCGGTTAACGATAAAGAGGTTAGTTAGGAAGCAAGAAGAAGAATTAAGCTCTTGAAGAAAAAAAAAAATGAAAAAAAAAATTTATATCGAGACAACGAGTTGACGTCTAATTGGATTAATAGCTAATGTGGATGATAGGTCGATTAGGAATAAAATTAGATCTTCATAGCATAATAGAAACGCAAAGAGGGAAAACTGCAGACATGTTCAAAGCAATTTAAAATAAGTTCAGCTTTATTCGAAACTAATATTCGCAAGCAGCAAACCATGAGTTCAGTTCGCTACTTTGTCCAAAAAGTAAAACCAATTTAACTATGGGTTCCCTTTCCACAATTCCGGCTTCATTTTTTTTTTGCGATTAGCTTTAAGCAAATCACGCATAACACGCCAGTAGAATTCCTTGTTAACTGTCTTGCCTGGCGGAAGGAATTCATAGTGTACAGTACTATGACAATCAAAAAAAAAGGTGCCTTTGCCTTGTATTTGGAACGACTTTGGCGCGGTCTTTCGATCATGGTTCGCCTTCCCGTTCTATTCGCTCGATTGATCAGTTTTTTTTCGAGTCATATACGTGAATCCAGGTCTCTTCCCTGTTTCCCGTAATGCGTCTCATGACGGATCGGTAGCCTGAAAAGTTTACGATATGAAATTTGCCACAGGTATCTGTCACAGCGCTACCAGTCGACTCGCCCAATTTAACTTAAATATTGGTCTTACTTTTTGGGTATGCTATTGCACAGATTGTAAGACACTGCACGATATATACCCAAATATTAATATGTTAAAAAGTATTGCCGAAAATACATTTTGAAAGATTTAATATTTAATCCTTTCTTCTTAATTTTGTAATCCTGCGAAGAGGACGTAAAAAATACTTTCAAGCATTTTCAAATCACAAAAATCTAGAAGTCTGTTCATTAAATTTGAACTTTTTATTGTCCCTAAAAACTAAATATTTAATGTCCATAATAAGGAGAGTGTGAATAGTCTTCTTAGGCTCTTCGAGGTGCAGTCTTGATGACAAGCTTAATATGTAGAAGGACTTGTTCCTTAGTAGTCATGCGCTAGTTACTTAAGATTCAGTTAGGGAGTGCATTCAATTTTCATTTCATACGCGCGCTCGCATTAAATATATTTAATCATTTAACTTTTTATTACAGAGGAAATTTATGCATGCGAGAAAACATTTGAGCGCATATTCCTTGGCGCTTTATTCGGACCACATGCTCCACATTTTATAGCTGGTTGGCGTAGCGATTTTCGTGATCAGGTTAATACATTTAAAAGGTCAAAAAACAAAACAAAAAAAATAAAAAAAATAAAAGAGAACAGAAAAGAAAAAAATTTATCAAATAAATTTCTCAGCTTATTTTTACATGCGTGGTTTCTTCGTTTATTTTCAATTTTTTTTATTATATATTTTTACTTGATTTTTTCTTTTGTGGTTATAACTTGACTCCCGTATGTCGTTTAAAAACTGTATAACGTGAAAACAGGATGAGAACACCAGAGCCATGGTTTATTTTTTACATCATGCAACAAGTCTTGATATGACACTACCCGTTTGGATAGCACGTTACGAACAGGAACGCATGTTAAAGTAAGTAAACTCTAATTATGTATGCAAACGGTTATTAAACAGCAATTACGGAAAAGTTTTTACTTGCGTTGGGGGATAAAAGGGTTAAACTTATACGAGAACTTTAAACAAGCCATTGTTTTTATTTTTCTTTTTTTTTTTTTTATTTAAGCATTTTAAAAATTTTTTAAAATCATGAAATGAAGAAATGTTTTGTTATGAGTTTTGAGATATTTTCAATCAATCAACATTCGGTTCAATTGTTAAAGTAGATTCGATTATTGAGCGGCATCTCATTGTCAATTTATCAATTTTAGTTCAGAGCTAGTAATCGTGTTCAGATAGGGAACGAAAGTCTCGATTAACTTGAGCCCAATTATCTGCGTGAATCCGTGTGTCCGTGTGAGTTCAGCGGTCTCTTATTTGGGAGGCGAGTACCATTGTGAATCCTACCGTTAATATGAGTCTAAGCGTCTCTGGTTGGGAACGCGAATTCCATTGCTAATTATTATCTGAATAAGTAGAAGTTTGTTTGCAAGTCTAAGTCTTCGGTTCCGAACGAAAATTCCGCAGTCAATGTTGACCGTACCGTTAATGTTGGTCAAATTATCTGCGTGAGTCCAATTGTCTTTGTAAGTCAAACCGTTTGAGTGAGTCTAAGCATCAGCGAGTCCCCAACGGTCTCCCATCGCGTACGTGGGAACCGCTTTCAATGAAGTTTCTCTGTGTCCAACTATTTCCATTGATTCAAATGTCGGCGTCAGGTACACCGTCAGGATGTGCCTGACTGTAACGGTGATACAGTAACATCTAGGTAGGCTGCTATGCCAATGTGAGTCGGACTCTTAAAATAGATCTCCCTTTCAATATCAGCCTGACTTGTTAACTAAGGTCCAACCGTTGGAATGCTTTCGATGTGTTAATACGGATACCGTTGTCATAGTGAATCTGATTTGTAATTTGGGTCTCTTTGCCGACTGAAGTGCGGTCTTTTGTCAATATATATATTGCTGTCAATTTTTGATGCAATGCATTCATTTATTTGTTAACAAATAAATTATCAATGTACGTCTTATCATTGTATTCGTCTATTAGCAAGTTTTTTATATCGAAAATTCTTAATGTTTTCTTTTTCTTCATTTTTCTGATTAAATTATTCGGATATTTTTGAAACAAAGAAAATCTTATTCAATTTTTTCTTTGCCCTCAAGCTCGAAGGTCGCAATTGGATTTTTTTAAAACGTTGTTGACTTTTGTTTTTTTCTAATATATTTGACATTTTCATTTGTGTTTATCAAATTTCTAAAAGTCATAATTTTCACTATACTAAAAAAAAGAAAAAGAAAAGAGTTTTTATAACTTACGGGAGAAAAACTTTAAAAAGTTCTTAATGAATTAAATCGTTACTGTAGCCTTTCGTCTCTGCAGAGCAAATACATTCATTATATATACATATATTCATATATTTATGTATAAGAATATATGAATATTTGGCAAAAAAAAAAGAAAGGAAAACATTACACGCTAGCTGAAGCACTGCGTTAGTTATCATTATTAAAAAAAAAAAAGAAATAAAAAAAGAGTATAAATAAAAGGCAGCCGTAAATTTTGGTTCGTTTGAGGCGATGTTATAAAATGTTATTTAATGTTATTTTAATGTTTTAGGGTATGTTTTCGTTTGGCATATAAACGCATTTACGTTGACAACGTATATTACATAAATTTTACGCTTGTGCTTTTGTTTATGACATCACTAGGCTTTAACTACCCTATGTATGCGATAAATCTTCAAAAAAAAAATAAATAAATAAAAAAATAGAAAAAAAAAAGCGGGTATACAAAGTTTGTTATTTCGTTGACACTACCCAAAAATAGTAATTGAAAAAGATTTGTTTTAAGATGGAGCATATGTAAGGACTGTAACCGAAAAGATTCGCATTCGAAGATTTTAAATGATAAAGAAAAATTGTATGCAAGAAATTGGCTCCAAGATGGAAGCATTGTTTTTCTTATTCTTTTTATTTACCTACTCGTCTCACCAAAAGCTGATCGTACATTAATTTTATGAAATCAAAGGGTAGAGCATCATAGAAAATTGCAAAATGCAAATATATTCTTGATAAGCTTAAGATTATTATGTGAGTTCTTCTTCGCTTACCCATCTTCTATGTAAGACGTTAAGAGAGATAGCTTGAAGAATATTAATCTAAAAATTTGAATTTTCAATCTTAATCACACACACTGAAAATGTACGGTATCTGGTTAAAGTAAAAATTGAGGCAAAACATGTTTAAAAAAAAAAAAGATAAACTTTGGCAAGATATCACGGCAGCTGGTTACTCTACATTAAAGGTGTAATCGTAACCTGGTTGAACGAAAGGTGGAGATGGGGGGAGAGGGGGGGGGGGGACACGGGAATATAGCATGTAACATTGAATGAGTCGTAAAGAACCAATAGTTCATTTTTATCCTTAAACCCATTATGATGTGTCTTTGAAGCACATTTCAATTTTAAACTTAAATTTCTTCATTATTTCAATGCATACGGCATGAGTTTAATTTTTTATCCTTGTTCGGATATGTAAGTGAATTTTAAACTGTAAGTAATGAGAGCACAAATTTTAATTATTCCAATTATTACTCATAAGTGTCTAAGAGTCACATCGTGGTATTATTCATTACAAAAAAAAAAAAAAAAAACATTTTACGATTAGGGTTAGCTATTGCTATTGTTTGCCTAAATTCATTTCCTTTCCTTTCTTTTCTTCACTTTTTTCTTTAAAAATTTATTGAAATTGTTTACGTTATTTTATGTTTGAAAAACTTTCCTACTTTTTTATTTTTTATTTCAAACCTTTTTACTAAAAACCCTATCATAATTTCTTTTAAATATAATTTAAACCTTAGTAAGATAAGGTAAACCTTTTGCATATATAATTAATATCTTAATAAATCTTTGCGTTTTAGGAGAAACCGTATTAGAAATCTTGTGCTATTTATATATTTACGGCTGCATATTCTTTGATTAGACAGAGAAGCAATAATAAACTTCCTTAGAGAAGATGCACTTAAACGTTTCACTCATTTTCATATTAATGCCTGCGTTAATTAGTCATTCAAAGTTCACGATAGTACAACGATCGTTCAACTAAAGTGAACGCAATTAATAGCAACTATTTAAAAAGATGATGAGAGAAGACACGACTAGATTCATTCCTTCTAAGACGAATATAATTGCGCGTTATAAAGCTTGAAAATCTTTATAGAAAGAGGAATAACATGTATAAACACTTGCTTTTTGTTTTACTAACAAATAATCTTGATTGAGGAAAAGATTTAGTTTCAGTTGAATATAATTCTCTCTTCTGATTTAAATTCACGCGTTCACAAATCGTTCATATCGTTCATGCCAATTACACACTTACATACATGACTCAGTTGTAAAGAAAAAGAAAACATCAAATAAATGAAGTTCAATTTGTTTTGCCCCCCGTTTAAAGAGATGGGTGTACGTGATCCGTATTAAAGGGCATTAATTTCTTTTATATGCTTCTTTTCATATATATATATATATATATATATAGGTTTTTGAAATTTTCATTTAAAAATTCATTTTATATGTAAATTTCCTTGTACATATAAATTTGCCGATGCCGATGAACAATGAATGCTACCTACCATTATGTGCTTATCATGGAATATAATAACAAAAAAAAAAAAAAAAAGTAAAAAAAAATAACAGTGAAAATTTTACTCATAGGGCACATAAACAAACAAACGTTAAGTCATATGTGAGCATTTGTTTAAATATCTATGATTACTTATACGTCACGTAGTGCTATAAATTTCAATATGTTTATTCAAAAGCATTAAATTTGTTGGGCCGATGAATGAAACTAAACTAAAGCTTTAGGAACAAATTTTTCGTTACTAACGATATAAGTAGATATAATTATATAGTCGGGAGTAGTAGTAACTGGCAGGCAGGCAGGCAGGCAGGCTAGCAGTTAGCAGATTGCATGCATGTGCGTGTTTGTTTATCATATTATTAACTTTTGTTTGTTCCATTTTCTTTTCAGATTTATTGATATCCCTATTGAATCTTGTGGACGTTCCTCACCGTTACGTGTTGCCTTGCAAGCCAGTGCTCCCGATTTATTATTAATACTTTTAAGGTAAGTGCATATTGTATACATATATTTTTTCTTTATTTGCAATATGAAGTACACACAACCTCTTAACAAACCAGTAATATTGCAATAATTTAAGAATTATGAATTCAATCCAGTTTATGATGACCTGATTAGTACTCGGAGCCTTTTCAGACATAAAGACTAATTAATAAACAAAGCATGTTACATGTAAAAATTCAATGAGATATGAATTTTGAATCTCTATCGAAAAGGCTTGTAATCGAAACATCCAGAAAGTATTGCATCATTTATTTGTAAGCAGTCGTCAGTGATCCGAATCGTAGCAGGCAGCACGCAGCAGGCATGGGCTAAGGTTTTCAAACTTTTCTCGCTTAAGCTTTCCACAGACGTTTGCAAAATTTTAAAATTTATATAAGCTACTAATAAGAGAGGGGCTTGTCGTCTTTGCAAACTTTAAAAATGTAAAGATGATACTATGATCCGTTTCGATGGTCAAGACCTTTCATGTTAGGGCAATTGAATTGCAAAAAAGGCAAAGTTTAAAATTTTGACAATCACTAAGAGAGCGTTTTTAGGCAAACAGTCTTAAAGCATTTAAAAAAAAAAAAGACGCATCAAAGAAACTAAACTTCATTTGCGGGTCTTTTACTGAAGCATAGAGAAATCATGGAGGTACAAGTGCTTGCCAGCAATAACGAAACTATTGCTTACTAATATAACACCGCAAAAACGCTCAGATAGCTAGCGCATTGACTATGAAACGTTAATCCCTTAAATTGCCCTCAAGCGGCTGAATTTGCAGTCTGTAGGCGCAGTTAACCTCTAACTTCAAACTCTATTGAGTGAAAAATTCCAAAAGTTCTGTAGCGGCAATGAAAAATGTGACGGAATATTTTCGAATGTCTGTCTGTCAGTTTTTCGACTCAAAGGCTCAATGTTTTTTTAGGCAATCAATTGAAACAGTAAGAAAGCATTAAATTCCAGTGTTTCAGTATTATTAGAAAATATTACGTGCTTTTATTGCCAATTGAAAATTTTAACAATTTAAAGCGTAATAAAGAAGAAGAAGAGTGTGCCAAGAAGTGAATCTTCTCTTCTCAAAATGCATTTGCATGGTTTAAGAAACGTTAAAGTATTACTTTTTAGCTTTACTCAGTTCAGTTAGAGGAAAGAGTTTCTCTTTTGAAAACTGTAACTTTACATGCATACATGTTTATATAAAATTTAAAATTTAATAATATGCATTATGAAAAATGTAAAATTTTCATGTTTGCATACAAGATCACGTATTTAATGCAAAAGGCAAAAGGAAATTGGAAAGAGATACTTTCCCTATGCATATTTGCAAGGACTGTAACAAGTGTATAAATATATATATATATATACGCATATATATATAAGGCCCATTAAAGTGACTATGCATTCTTTCTTCTTTTTTTTTTTTTTTTTTTTGAAAATAGCCTAACATGCAAAAGAAAGTAAAGTCATTTGCAGCTACAAGTATTTTATTTTCTTTTCTAGAATTTCTTAAAGAAATCTTTGTAGATATTCAAAGGGCGACAAACAAAGACTCCAAAATGTCTCATGGTTCATAGCATCTTCAAATTTATTAATTTATGCATATATCGCAACAAGCAAAGTTTGTTGCATGTAAGTAATAAATATGGAGTTGTTTTGTATATAGGTTTTCTCAATAAAAGAGAATTTTTTTTTTTTTTTTGTGTTTAGTTTTTTCAAGGTAGCCAGCCTACTATGTATAAAATATTCCATTTTATTGAAAAACAGAAGACGCTTTTTCACTTTAAGGGCTAAAAACTAAATCGTATATTTTTTTGTAAAAGAAATCAGAAATCGATTTTGGCAGACACGTTACAAATAGTAGCAGAAGAAGAGCTGATAAATAACATGAAATATATGTGTGATATCAAATGGTATGAAAACAAAAGATAAGATAGATGATGTGATTGAAATGCTTAGATTTCCGTTACTGAACACTTTATGGCAATTATACTATATTATGTATGTGTCTGTTCACAATAATAAGGATCTAATGCATTTTCATCTCATCATAAGGCAAACAAATATGCTCTGCTTCCTAAAATTGAATGTAAATTTTATAATATTTTACGATTTTTCATGATACTGAGTAAAAGCAAATGTTGCGAGATTTTTTTATAGCGAAATTAACTTATTGCAAGAATAAAGAAGAATACACTAAAATCATATATAGCTTATACGTGACACTAGTTAACATATTAATTTAATATTTTATATGATACGTAAATCCTATTGACTCTGGTTTCAATCGAGCGAGTGCAAACCGTTAGAGCTGAGAGAATTTTTTATATCTACAAGTTATAAACAAATGCATTTTATTTAGTCTTCACGTAGGATGTTTTTAAAGCTATTGCTTTCATTTAAAGTACTTGCACAAGGACTCGTTAGCATTGTGAGTGAAAAAAATTTAAGTAACTCTGTAAATATGCTTATAGGTCAAAGTTCTATAACCATCTTTTTCGCAAAAGTGCATAAGCTTCCGTAAAAAATAATTTACAATATTGTTGATCATAAGTTTAGACTTAGCCTTTGACTTCCTAAAAGCTATACCATAGCCGTGTCGGCTAGAGCCGCTAGTAACCAAGCCGATCACACTTCAGCTATAGATTTATAAATCCTTTTTTCTATCAATGGGATTTTAGATCTATCACGTTTCTCTTAAATTTCATTTGCGCGCATTAATAACAAACATATTTAACAAATTTCAATTTTTTCCCTTAACTTTTCCCAATGTGAGTTTATTAATCAGTTGACCTAAGTACATTGTTTCATTAACTTATGAATACTACAAAGGGGAATAACAAGTTTAGTATGTCCGTCTTCGGTAAATTAGTCTAAACATGATTATATAAAATTATTTTAAGCGTTTGTATGGAATAAAAAAAAATTGGTAACATATTCTTGGCTTTAACCTATAGTGCTGTCTACTTTTAGGCTTCAGTTTTTAAAACTTTTATTGCCTAACTTCGTATATAGATGCAAAACCTTTGGTCTCTACTTTTAGGGTTAAATTTTTCAAACTTTTCAATGCCTGATTTCAGATGTGAATGTGTAACAATTGTGTAGAAAAGACTTCTTTTTTTTTTTTTAAATTTCAACAACAAAAATTTTTGCTTAAATGAAAAATTTTTAAAATTTTTTTTTTAACTACAGAAAATAAATTCATTTAGTGCACAAAATCTTCTTTATCGATTATTTAATTACGTTTTAGTTATGCCCGTGGTAATGGACACGTTCTACGAATGTGTGAAAAAAATATTTACACAAATTGATTTTTCTATTGTTGGAAATTTTGAAATCAATTGTCTTTTGAAGCATAAGAACAGAATAACCGGCACTTATGATAGTTTATTTAAGTGCATACACACGCCCATATCATTGTTGGCGTATCTTTAATGCATTGAAAAAACCCCATAACTACGCCTCATCGATTGTTAAATGTGTGCATATTTACACCACAGACTGATGTGATTTCATTTGAGCGCAGCAATTTTGTTGATTAGTTTGTGTGAAGATATGTGAAAAATGGAGACACAAAAACAGATCGGGTTTGTTCTATAAGGCTAAGGCCACAAAAAATAGATTTTGGTTTTTTTTTGTTTGGTCCTTTGCTCGTTTTGGTCAATAGCCAAAAATTAGAGAAACAAAATGTTTCAATATTCTTGGAATAATGTAGAGATTCATGCAGTTTTGTGCACGCTTGTGGGTACACACAATAAGAAGAAACAATAAAGCCTTGAATAGAAAATGGCATAAAACTATAAAACAACTGCATTTCAAGCCAAATTGCTGCGACAGAAAGAAAGAGGAAGGACGCAAATCTCTATTGGCATGAGAGGAGGGGCAGCTTCGACTTTGGCTTTCAACACAAATATTAAAGTGTTTACAAAAATTTTCTCTCTCCTTTTGGTGATGACGATGATGATGATGATGATAATGATGGTCGATGCTAGTGGGGATTGTTTGCGTTGTTCACCCACATTTGGACCTAAAAATCAAAATGTATGAATATTGGCTTTTTCTCTAACTACAGGATGATGATTACATTTTGTGTGTTCACATATATGTGCACATGTATATGTATGTGCATACTTTGGCCAAGGCCAGTAAATATTATAGAAAGTTAGACGTCTGTATATGCAAAGAAGTTTTATTATTCTAAGATTTTGCTCATAAAAATTTATTAGAGAAAAATTTTCAAAATAATACATATTTCCATAAGAAGTAAAAGCCTTTATCGGAAAGCGTATAAGTAAGTAATCATGTAAGTTTGGATAATGCATGCAAATAATAAATTTGTCTAAAAAGGATTGCATAACATTTGAACAATAATAAATGGAAATAAATTTATTATTATTATTATTATTATTATTTTTTTTTTGTTTTTACAATTTTTGATTAAGTTTTTCCATATATATATATATATATATATGAAATCATTAAAATGTTATTTCTCTTAAGAAATAATCAAAAGACCTTGATAGTACAGGTGAATATTTAAACGAATTTAAATCAATAAATAATTTATGGTATTCCAGGAAGTGATAGTGACGATAACTTCCGTTAAACGAGCTTATGATGACAAAAACGACATTATTTGTTATGTAGCTCAATATGTTAAATAAAATCCTTTTTCGTTTCGGTTTTTTTTTTTTTTGTTTGTTTCAAGTCAGCATATGCATGCATGAAGTCACTTAACAATTGCAGAAAATACTAAATAATAATAATAATAATAATAATACTAACAATAATATGAATAATAACAGTGAGTAATAGCGATAATAGATAATAACAATAATAATAATAGTGACAATAATAATAAACAATAATAGTAAATAGTAACAATATAACATATCATTCAATAAGTTCGTAGGATGAGATATAAATGTAGCTAGTAAGTAGATAGTAAGAAACTTTAAACTATAGTTCATATATACTGTAATCACGCTACTTTTATTTTTATAATGGATTATGGAAATGGAAAAATCGAATTTTTCACGCTTAGCGTCACATTCAAACAGTCGCTGCTAGTAAACTATCGGACCAAATATCACGAAACATTAATAAACTTCGCTTGCACGTACATACTATTTAAAAATCATAAGAACTAATTAATAATGAGTCTACGTCTGCATGTCACCCTACGAACTTATTGATTGTTGTGTTAATATTAATAAAAATAAATAATAATACTAAATAATAAACAAAAATTAAAACTTAAAATCTTAAATGACATAAATTATTAAAAAGATTGAATCATTATGAATGATTTCTTATTATACTCCATTGCAGATATGGTGCTGAACCGAATCCTCCGGATGGTGGTAGCTCTGCTGTTTTAGCTTTGCTTGATAAACTAACCGAAAATGGTCGCAATTATCTTTATCAGAATGTGTCATGTTTGCAAATATTACTACGTAATATACCGCTTGTAGAAATGCCATACAAGGTAAGCGCAGACAAGCAATTAGATATTCATTTCCATTCCGTACAAATATGAATGATTGATTGCTTCGTAAAGACATTTTTTAAATTGATTGAAAAGCTGTATGCGCATTTATGTACTTTTTATACTTATTTGCAAAGTTGTGATACCTGTGAAAATTCTAGCACTCATTGTGTACACTTAAGAGATTTTTTTAACATAAGAAAATCTGTCCATCCATCCAATTGCTGTTCAATTTTGAGCACGCGATATATAGCTAAGTCTGGGGTTTGGTCTGCCCATAAATATCATTAAAAAAAAAAATAAAACACTATTCACAGCAATAATTTGCAATTTAAGAGCAGAAGCGTATCCTGAACTGGAAACTTGAAAAAAAAAAAATCCTCCCAACTCCAACTTTAAGCTCGCTTTAATAACTTTTTAATAACTTGTTTCGTTTTCTCTAATTTTTTGTTTTTTTTTCTTTTTTCAATTTGCTTTTAAGCCCATTATCTACAGCACGAGGCGGGAAATGTTTTTTGAACGTTACGGTCGGCTATTGATTGATAAAATTTTAAAAAAGGAACAAGTTTACGGTGTTATGTCCTTGCGTCATCTATGTCGGTAAGTGTGTATGAAATTTTACGTAAATAATTCACGTGCAAATATTTTACGCGTCAACGTAAATGCTGCTTATAGATTTGTTTTTGGTTTTTTTCTTGCTTTTACGTACATCGTTATGTGTAAGCTGTTATCCGAGTTAATTGAATTATACATTATTTGCATTATAAATATAAGATCAAAAAGTATTCGTATGTAAAATGCCAAAAATCTTTTTGAGCGAAGAGATATGCAACAGATAAGAATATAAAACAAGCTCAGAATTTGCTTAAATTTAATTTCCTTCTAACATAATCGTACAGATATCCAAACAAGCGTATCAACTGAATATAAATATCAGAATAATAAGTGCTTGGTAAAAGCTATAAAGTATTTACACACATTTACGCATACATTTACCTTCTAACATTCTAACATTTTCGCAAATTTTCAAACGGTTTGATTGTACCTTAAATTATCAAACTAAATGCTTTAGGCTAAGTTATGGCAAACAAAGCAATAGAATTATTTTCAGGCCACATTCAAGGACGTTCAGAGTAATATTGAGTACAGATAATAGGTAAAGTATAATATTAGCGTTCTAATTGAATAAAATGCGCCCTTGTCAGACTTGATTCAAGTTCAAGTTGTAGTAGTTAACACGATTTAATTAATGCTATTGTTTAGACTGAAAAACTCCCCACAATTTAGCGAAAGATAAGGATTTACGATGCTTGGAAATCCGATAATATGTATGTAAGTTTTTAGTTGTTGCGACTTGATCTTGCCGCCTTTTTTTCCAATCATTCAGAGAGTGCCGCTTATACATGTAAAGCAGTGGTGGTTAGAAAGAATTAAGAAAATAAAACGAGATGGAGTGGGAGCCAAAGACAAACGAATGTGCTTTCATTCGGTGAGCACTCTTTATAGCTGCGATCAAGTATGGTCAAAACGTACTAAGATTCGCACCCGGGAACACATTGTCCATGAGATAGAAATTGAATGTTTGCCAAACAAGTTCTTGATTGAATTCGGTTCATTTACTTTGAAAGCAAACTTCATCTGTCCGTAAATGTTTTCACAACGGCTGGAAAGCTCAATCCAAGAAAAGTACTGCAAAATTTTAAATCTTTTGGAAATAAATCGAATAGTCAGTCAATGACTTAAAATTGGCTCAAACATTTGTTAAGCTAATGGAAAGGTACTATCGATCTCATCTCATAAAAGACTGAAGCAAATTTGCGGTACTTGATCAAGCTTTGATACGTTCCGCCTTAGTTTATAGTAATTGCACAATTTTTTTTTTTAAATATAGTTATGTTACTTTTGAAATGACCTAAGAAGCTTTTCATTAAACGGGTCTATCAAAATGAAGAATGTACTACAATTTCTATTGCGAACGTAATGTTGTGTCAAAATTTCAAAGTTTTCGAAGTCTTTGGATTTTTGAAAAAACAAACATTTACATTTTTACATCTATAGATTTTTATGCTTTGAAGTATTTTTTTTTTTTTTTCGTAAGTATTTGGAAAGGGTCAGATTCTGTGTAAAGATAATTTGCGGATCACTACAAAAATTGCTTAAGTTAGTTAGCCAAAATTGAATGCTTTTAAATGCTTTAAATTTGAAATAAAGGAAATTTTATTACTGTACCATAACCTACTCACAATGATAATAAAAGTAAGTAAATTGCTAGGTAATTAAGCAAAGAAGTACTGCATACTCTGCTCTCTACTACAAATGCTTATCACTTTCATTACTAAAGATTTTATGAAATATTTTTGCAAAAAGTTTCAATGAGATTTTTCCAAAATCTTATAAAAGATTGTGACAACATTTGTCAAAGTATGTTTTAAGTCAATTTAATAAGTGCTTTGTGAAAACCTATCTAGTTTTTAATAAATGAATTTCTCTCATCTCTCTGTAAAGAAAGCAAAGCAAAAAAAGAAAAACAAACCCTATAGTTATTCATAGAATGACTTTTAAAAATAAAGCGATATATGACAAGTAATCTGATCTCAACCATTTTCAATAGCATTTGTCCTTAGGCCAAACGAAGCAAAAAAATATATATAAAAAATTGTGGCATTTAGGTTAAACATAAGAAAGCAAGACCGATAGACTGACAAGCTTAGATTTATAAAAGATACTAAAAGGCGGGTCTCCGCACAAACTTAATATACCCCAAGTGATGCCAGTGCTAAAGAGACACAAAACCTTTGAAGAATTTCTAGGAAAAATTTGTAAAGCATTTCTAATAAAACTTAGGTTATATAAACCAAGTTAGGTACAGTGCAGATTGCTGGTACGATCTCTAATAGAAATGTTAAACAAATTTAGTATGAATTCAAAG